GCTGGTTACGCTGGATACGCTGGTTACGCTGGTTACGCCGATTACGCTGGTTACGCCGATTAAGCGGATTACGCCGATTACGCTGGTTACACTGGTTACGCTGGCTACGCTGATTACGCTGATTACGCTGATTACGGTGTATAGACGGTGTAAACGGTGTAAACGGTTAGACGGTGTAAACGGTGTAGACTGTGTAGACGGTGTAAACGGTGTAAACGGTGTAGACGGTGTAAACGGTGTAAACGGTGTAAGGGGTGTAAACGGTGTAGACGGTGTAAACGGTGTAGACGGTGTAGACGGTGTAAACGGTGTAAACGGTGTAGACAGTGTAAACGGTGTAGACGGTGTAAACGGTGTAAACGGTGTACACGGTGTAAACAGTGTAAACGGTGTAGACGGTGTAGACGGTGTAAACGGTGTAAACGGTGTAGACGGTGTAAACGGTGTAAACGGTGTAGACGGTGTAGAAGGTGTACACGGTGTAAACGGTGTAAACGGTGTAGATGGTGTAGACAGTGTAAACGGTGTAGACGGTGTAAACGGTGTAGACAGTGTAAACGGTGTAAACGGTGTAGACGGTGTAAACGGTGTAAACGGTGTAGACGGTGTAAACGGTGTAAACGGTGTAAACGGTGTAGACGTTGTAAACGGTGTTAACGGTGTAAACGGTGTAGACAGTGTAAACGGTGTAAACGGTGTAGACGGTGTAGACGGTGTAAACGGTGTAAACGGTGTAGACGGTGTAGACGGTGTAAACGGTGTAAACGGTGTAGACGGTGTAAACGGTGTAAACGGTGTAAACGGTGTAGACGGTGTAGAAGGTGTACACGGTGTAAACGGTGTAAACGGTGTAGATGGTGTAGACGGTGTAAACGGTGTAGACGGTGTAAACGGTGTAAACGGTGTAGACGGTGTAAACGGTGTAAACGGTGTAGACGGTGTAGAAGGTGTACACGGTGTAAACGGTGTAAACGGTGTAGATGGTGTAGACGGTGTAAACGGTGTAAACGGTGTAAACGGTGTAGACGGTGTAAACGGTGTAGAGGGTGTAAACGGTGTAAACGGTGTAGACGGTGTAAACGGTGTAAACGGTGTAGACGGTGTAAACGGTGTACCGAAAAATCGTGGACACTGATTGCGCCAGCAATGTTTTTCTTGCAGCCTTAGGGCCATGGCGCGCGTGCCCCCAACAGTGAACCCAGCGACAGTTGGTGAGGCCGATTTCGGCCCGATCTTGGGGTCAGATCTGGAACCTCTCCTCGCCGCTCGTGCATAACTCAAGAAAAGACAAAAACACACACACCACACACTATTTGCACGCTGTACACCACTTGCATGATCCGTTTCAATAAAGCTCCCGTTTTGGTTGACTGGTCGACCTTGAATGGTTTGGGACTGGACCTCGGACATGGGACCGCTCGCAACAGCATTGGGCCGGAATCGCTTTGCGTGCGCGTGATCGCCAGTGTCCAGGTCGAAGAACCCTTGATCACCGAGGGCCGCCCTGATCATCCTAGGTATTTGAAGTGGTCTGGCCCCACGATTCTCCTCTACCAGTTGCCCGGATAGGGGACAAAGAGCCCAACGCATTACATGCTGTTCAATGGGTACGGGCAAAGTTCAAATCCCTGGACACTCTTGAGCCATTGTGACCTGACCCAAATTTTCCTTTGAATGACCTGTGGCTCAATAGTGTACCTTCCCGTCCTACCCAGGCTTGTGTGGTAGCCCTACTTGTCCAACTGGCTTCGCCAAACTCCAGTCATGGAGCCATACTGTATCATACTGTATCACTGTATCTATATATATATATGACTCATGGCCATATATATATATATATATATTATATGGACCCTTGAAAGTACCTTAGAAAGTGGGAGATGAGCCATCATGAAGATCATGACCAACAAATTACAACACAACCTCAAAAAGAATCCCATGAACACGTACTTTCATGTACTTTCCCAATGAGTGAAAAACACCCAAAGCATCCTACATCTGGTTTTGTGGTTTGCACCCTGTAGCCTGTAGACGGAGAATTCTACCCGTGGAGTCGACATTCCAAAGACCAACCCAGTGGCTTTTACGCAAATCCATGTTCAGGCAGGGAGCAACGGGAGTAACTGATGTATACTCTCCGAAATCAGCAACACCTGCCCTGCCATCCCATGTCTCATGAACAACTGCCTCATTCTGCCTCTTCGTGCCGGACCGGAAAATGGATCACGCCACACCGATGTGTCGGCCGCGAGGGCGATGCGTGGAACGTTCCACGCCTCGCATTTGATGCATCAGGGTGGTGCCTTCCCAAAAGCGCTGCAAAGCCTGGCGATGCGTTGTCGGTCGTCGAGTCGAGCGGCGTCCAGGTCTTGCCACATGAAGGTTAAAGACCACGAGGACCCCTTGTGGACGGCTTGTGGCCCCTGCGGGATGGGGACAAGGGCACCCCTGGCTTTTTGTGCCCCCCACACACAGCCTAGGGATCCAAGTACCTTCTCAGGTACGGTAATTGGTACAGTGATGTAGGTTTGAAGGGTCCAGTCGTACCTTCTGAGGTTCGGTATGACTGGATGCCCGATCGGGGCAGAACATCACACAAACCACCGGAATTGGACTCCAAAAACGTCACCTGGATGAAGCGTCCGGCCACCGATCGACTCCTGGAGCGTCCGCTCGACGAGGATGGAACGGGAGCGGAAGCGGCGGAACGGCCGCGGAAAGTGCCCGATGAGAGGGAGTAGATCCTCTCGAAGTGTCACGACAGCTCGAACTCCAAAGGGAAAGGAGAGATGGTCTTCTGGGCTGCTGATAACACCCTCCATTTAGGATTGACAAACTCCTGAGGGGGGTTATTCATCAAAGATCCTACCTTAGGCTTGAGCTTGTGAAGGTGCGTGACCATCTGGCCGTTTCGGTCATGAGGTCGCTGGGATTTGTGGACTCCCCACAGCACCACGCGCATCTTTTTGGGTCCTGAAGAAAGGCGGTCGATGGTCGATGGTCCGTTCACGACCTGACTCCGGTGCCCCTGCCTTGTGGAAAGCGCATTTGGGTGGACAAACATGGGTACCTCTTCTGATGCCTTCTATAAGCACCCTCGTGTTCTTTTCCTCCCGCTGGGGCACCCTATTCCGTCGGCACTGAGTTTTTGAGGCCTTTCCAGGCACGAACCGGTGGGGTGACGAGGCTCGTCACCTCGAGTCGCTCACTTTAGGGCAAGTTGAGAGGGTCCACGTAGGTGCCCACTTCGTTGTTCTTCTCCCAGGCTTTCACCTCCGCTTCGCCGAGTGGTTCGCCGATGTCGGACTCATCCGTGGGCAGAAACACACGGCAACTCGACACACGAAGAAGGCCGACACCGTGAAAACCAGCTGTTTTACGGCATGCAATGTAAAACATGAAAATGAAAAGAGGCAGGAGCTTCACTTCTGCAAACATGCTCATGACAGTCTTGACATGTCTGGGGGTATGATCACTGGATGTGATATTCACTGCTGACTTGCTGCACAAGATCTGCCAAAAGCCAGGTGTCTGCACGAAAGAGACCACAAGAGACAGTCTCTAGCACTATAGTAACTAGCAAATGATCCGACATGATCCGACCAACATCTCTTTTCTCTAACTGAACATCTCCACGCAATGGATGTGTTTTGAGCTGAATGTTCTCGTTTATTCTACTGTATATTATATGAGCCAATATTGGGTCAATCCTAATACCAGTATGAGTGGATGATGATGATTAGCAAAGGCCTTCCTCTAAAATAGTGACAATTGCTTACCGACTGTTGCAGGTAATAGGACAACCGCCAAGTCTATATGTCACTACTTTCTATATTTCATTACTTGCTACTAGTAACAAGAAGTTACTAGAGGCTCCTGGCCTTACTCCTAGTAACAAAAAGCTACTAGGGGCTTCTGGCCTTACTACCAGTAACAAAAAGCTAGCTCCTAGCCTTTCTACTAGTAACAAAAGCTACTAGTAACAAAGGGCATCGCTACTAGGAGATCTAGGAGCAAGGACGCTACGAACGTAGCTCGCAAATTGGGCTCCATGAGGCCGTCGGAATGGTACACCAGAACCGCACGAAAAGAGTAGAGGCGGTCGATGTGACCTGTGTCAGTTCGTAAAATGTTGCATCCCTAAAGGATCCTTGCTGGAGCAACTATGGCCTACATTTGGCAGTTGATTTTGGGTGAAATGTTGGTCATATTTGCCTAAGCGGATCGTCTGGGATCTTAGATTTTCACATTGAGGAGAGGACCTTCAAGTTGGTGCGGATATAAAAGGTGAAACATGCAGTATAGTAGCTTCTTGCTACTCGCAACAACTGCATGACTACTGGTAACAAGTGCATTACTAATTACTAGTAGCAAAAAGCTACTACAGTAGTAGCTTCTTGCTACTAGTAGCGATGCCCTTGTTCCTAGTAGCGATGCCCTGGCTACTCGCTAAACGCGAAGCAAGCGGGCCACACCCCATCCATGGCCAAACAGCGGGGAGGAGTCCCTCGGCTCGCCTCGTCATAGGGGCGGGCCAGCCAGCGGCGGAAGTTCAATTTCTTCTGAGTGCCTGGCGATCAGGTCACCATCGGTCCTTCCGATCACCGCTGATGATGTGCTCGACACTTGAACGTCTAAGCGATTTCGATTTCGGCTCCAGTTGTACCGATGGTGGATTGATGTGGATTTGATTCATCAACAGCCCACCCGGAGTCTCAATGTACCTCAGAAAATGCGTACAAGATAATAGTACAAGTACCTGTCTTTCTAGGTTGAGACCCTCATGTCCCATTTTCAAGGGCACTTGAAGTCAGAAGTGTCTATACCTCCACCTGCCCGTTTTTTCAACGTGCCGAGCTGCGATGGATCACCTTCGGTTCACGACCCTGGCGCAGTTGGGTGGCCAGGCGTCGGCTCATGCGCTGCTTGGCCTTCCTGGCTGATTGGAGGGACCGCCCACCCTATGGGAAAACATGGAACTTGGCCACAAGTGGCAAAGGTGAGAATATGTGCCAGGGGTCACAAAGGGGTGCCTATTGGAGGATAGGGGTGCCCATTATCAACTCACTTAGGGACTAAAAACCACCCCTTTGTGACCCCTGGTGAGAATACTTGTTGAGAATACTTGTTTGAATGGTTGGTGAAGGCGAGAATAGCGGGCGATTGGCTGCTAGCTTGACCCCCATGAATAGCAATGCATGCCGCATGCCTCAGCAAAAATGTATTCTATAGATACGTGATGATACGTGGAGTGAGTGTCCATTCTTAGCAGCAAACGCTGCCAAGACTAGGCAAAGGTCTTCGAATAGCGCGACTTGCGACACTGTCCAAGCCACAGCTCACGTTAAGCAGTGGAAAAATCTTCGAATAACATCCGGAAACTGGGGTCATGCTGAGCCACCGCTCTTTAAAGCACCTGGAGGCTCAAAGAACCTCCGAAAATAGGGTACGGATCTACCTCTACCTGGCTCTTTTTAAAACAGCATAAAATAGCTACTAGATGCTATTAGGTTATGTCGACATGTCATGTCCCATTTTGTCTCGGGTACGTTGGAATGGTGCAGGCACGTATGAGCTCCAAAAAGGTCAAAAAGAGTTGATCTCTTTCATGAACAATTAGAAGTTCACTTCTGCATCTCGCAGGCCAACTAGGTCACACCTGCCCATTCCTCCCCACGTCACTGGGGTTCCTCCCCACGTCCGACGTCAGGACATGCGGACGTCGCTCACGTCCCATCCCTGCCAAGCGTCTTGAGGCGGTTCAAGGTCTTACGGCCCGGCCGGGGGGGGCGGTCTCGCACGGCGTAGATGTAGGAGTTCAAGCGCATCCGGAGGGCTTCGATGCGGTACACGTGGCGGATCTTCAGCTCCTAGCCGTGTTTGCACGGGCACTATATAGTAACAAGAAGCAACTAGGGGCTCCTGGCCTTACTACTAGGAGCAAGGACGCTACTAGGGGCTCCTGGCATCGCTACTAGGAGCATTCTTAATTACTACTAGTAACAAGAAGCAATGTTGGGATGACACCGGTGTTGGAGGTCGGATCTCTTCGCGAAACAGTCCCACACACGGCATGATGCCGTGGGGCTGGCTAAACGATTGATGACGCGTTGCGGGAGAAAAAACCAACCGGAGTCAGTACTGTAGGGGTTGAATATCAAATCAATCAATCAATCAAGCAATCAATCAGGTTCACCTGTTTTCAGCTCAGGATAGCTCCTCACGGATCTTCATGTAGGACTCCAAGTTGGACACCGACAACTTGTCCAACATGCGCCGGCGCGCACACACCAAGCCTCAGCAACGCTGAGCCCAAGCAACAAAATGCCACACATGATGTTTGCATATACGTTTGCAGGGAAAGTGGCGGGCAACTGCTCTGATGGTCTTCAGATCCCTTTCACGAAGAACCACGTTCAAGCAAAACATCGCAAAACGGACGCAACAATCTACACTCAAGGAACAACAACTCAAAATACCCTTATGGTGCAAGGGTTCTTCTCTTCAACGGGACACGCGTCCAGGGTCCAGCCGTGTTTTTTCGTTGGCTGGAGCCTCATGACCTCACATGGCGGGCGATGGCTGCATCGAGCCAACCACGAGCCTCGAGCTCGATATCGCCTGCGCAAGCCAAGCTGCTCCCCTGCAGACTCTGCAGACATTCACATGGAACCCCGAGACCACGTTGGGTTGTAGAGGAAGATGGTCTTGTAAACCGAACCATTCTCTGGTTCCATGTTCGTCGGGTTCGGGGCACGCGCTTGAGTTCCATCCAATGCCGGAATTTCTTCGAACACTGCACACTTCTAACATCTTCAAACCCTGACGGCTCGGTACCGCTTTTTTTTTAATCCGTAGACTTAGACTCAATCAAGAGTCTACAGTCTACATTAGTGCCGTGTCCCCAATTCCGACGAGTTGAGTTGGGACAGTGCAGAGCCTTTCTGAAAAAACCCAAGCCCTGCCCAAGTCTTTCGCCAGACCCCTAGGGCTCCAAGCACATCCTGAGAAGGTGAATGGGTGGGTTGTTTGGGGAAATCAATGGGAAGTCTATATTAACTACCCTCTGAGGATCTGGTTGGAGGTCTAGGGGACCACCTGAGATGAATACTTACCGAGCATGTGAGGCATGAAGAACGCCTCTACCTCGAGGAGTGAAGAACGCCCCGCCCTGGGCCATCTGAGGACTGAAGCCAGTCCAAGTGTCCAGAGCTTAGCCCTGCAAAAGGGATCCAGGATAGCCGCTACAAAGACATCACACGATATCGGAACCCCGGTTTTGTCATGGGAAACACGAATCGTGTTCCTGCACGCCTCTCTCCATAGTTTATCACGGGTCGAGTTTACGGCTCGCACACTCGCCAGTTCGCTGCCAAGGAACTCACCAGCTTCAGGCGGCATTTGTAGTCACGCTTGAACTGACCTCAAGAAGTGTCGCATCCGAGCGATTCTGTCTTTGCACCAAGGCTTGCTGGTTGGAATGGGCCAAAAAGACGGGGGCCTTTCATGGTTCTTCACGATTGATCCAGGTTGTCGGCCTCCAGCTTCTTGGTGTTTCTCTTGTTGGTGGACATGTGCTATGGACTCAGGCTTCATACTATGTCAAGAGGTACTTAATGACTTAATGTAAGCTCTTCCGAGCCAGGTCCAACACTCAACCCCCTAATGAAGGTGCAACAGCTCAGTATACCGGGCTTGAGTTTGCTTCAAACCAAGGCCTGCCTGGTCCGGACGGTACGTACCGTGCCCTTCAGCCTCTCAAGTGCCACCCGTCTGTCTCAAGCCTCCTCGTGTGATGCCCCAGTTCAACCGACCGCACATTGCTGTCTGTCACCATCAACGAGCCAAACGGCAAGAGGCCGCACGCAGGTAAGGGCTTGGCGCTACCTTCCAGGCCTTCAAACAGCAGAACCACAAGGAACCACCTGTCAACCCCTGTCACCTGTCACACCATGTCACCCCCCCTGGATGCGCATGTGCTTCTCCTCCCTTTCTCTTGAAAAAACTTCCCCCCCCCGGAATCGACCCAAGCAACGCATGTGCAGAATCATGTTCCGAATCTTCTCTGTGGCGACCGCAATCTGAACCTCTAACGAGCCACCGTTCCTGAGCAAATGGGTGCTTCGAGGCGCTGGAAAAGCAGCGAATTCGCAGCGAAGCTGCTAGATTTAGTGGGCGGGAGGCTGTTTTTGTATGTTCTTGATTACTTTTTTTTGGGGGGGGGGAGGGTTTGGTCTGGAGTGGTATACCGGAGTGTCGATCGACCAGAAATCGACGCCTAACTCCTTATTGTGATGAGCTCAAGGTTTTAACCAATGGAAGGATTGGCCGTCCCGTGGATGAGTGGTTGGTTCAATTTGTTTTGCCGGGATTTGCCGGGTCAATGTAGGCAAATCTTCCCTATAGACGCAGCCTGCCGAGACCATTCAAAGGTTGACCAAGGTTGACCTGGTTCTGTAGTGCCAGTCATCGATTGCGCTGCTCATCGATCGAGGCAAGTCGAGCACTCCGAACCCCCCCCGGGGATGATTCATCTTCCGATTGATCACAGAGCTGGAACTCGGAGCACAGCATGAAGACTTGGGTTTTTGGTTCAGGTCGCCCAGTCCTCGTCTCTTCGGAACGGTTCCTCTGTGGTCGCTCCCACCAAGCTTCCAGCTCGGTGGTTCGGAAGATGGATCATCCCCGGCTGCTCCGAGCTCCCGCTCTCTCTGAACAAACCACCAGCTTCGTTCCCCGTCCAGACTCGCACGGCTCTGTGTTGATTTCTAGGAGCGAGCACCGCCGCCGCACAGTCAGCGGCGGCGGAGCTCCATTAATATATCATATCGTTGGTATCGGTGGTTCGTGTTAGATTGCTTTACAGTGTTTCGGATGCTTGTGTCAATATTGTGCCAATTTTACATGGATATGGGTAGAGGCTAGAGGTGGAGAGAAAAGAAAGATCTATTCACACAGCAGCCCTTCCTTCCCCCAAGCCAAGAAATGCAATATGTGTATATATGTATATATACACGGGAACTTGAATGAAATGATGGTATCGCTTTTGGTTGTTCACTAGGTCGCTTTTGGTTGGGTTCCCTCATCAGCTTCCATGCAAAAGTTCCTCTCACATAAATATTTGTGAGCAAACCATTTTGGTTCCGAACAAATATTTGGACGATCTTTGGCATGGTTTCGCCAGATGCCACGTGTCGTCACTGTCTATATACTTCCATTCTACCCATGCAAATGTTCAGTGGGAAAACCCGTTCCACCCTTCTTAAATTTGTGAGACTGGAACATTCCCCCCCCCAAAAAAAACAACATGAGATCTGGAAATGGAACAACACATCTTCTGTTGCAGGTGTTTTTTGTGAGATCTGGAACCTAGTTGCAGAAAACACCCAAAACCCATCAGCTCTGGCCTCATGGGACCCATGGATGGTCAACACAAACATCTCGTCCCACCTCCAAGAGTCCGTCCTTCTGGTCCACTGCGCCAGGTCTTAATGGCATTCCTCGGTGCCGAGGGAGGTCGCACCGGTGAGGTCGCAGGGTTTGAGGAGGTCGAGCCATGGCGGTTTCTGGTCGCAAGGAGGTTGAAGCATGACTCTGGTCGTTGGGAGAAGAGGCACATCGTTCGGTATCATCTAGAGATTTGAGATCTGAATCCTGTAAGAAAAATACACGATGATACTAGTGTAGGTGTGCTGCATAACTTGTATAAGGAGTTATTGACTTCTCCACCTGCACGTATCGATTTCGCCGGTATCGTCTCGTTGAAACCTTCGACCCTGCAGGTCCGACCCAGCTTGAAAACCAGTACAGCTTGAGGTCCACATGGAACCTGAAAACCATTGGGTTGTAACGGGAAAGATAAGTCTTCCAGTCTGGTCCATCACATCAGGTTCCATGTTCATCTTCCCGGGTGTAGTGCTTTTTTGCATGACCAACTCTAGTATAGTACACTGAGGTCGAACTGATCTGTAGGGAGAACCACATGTTTTCCGTCGAATCTTTGGCAACAAGAAAGGAACAACGACAAGTAACAACTTGCCACATCCTGTCTCTGCCTGGCTGTTGAAGACAGGTGGTTTCTCAAACCCTGAAGCAACCTGCCCTACCAGTAGCCTTCCAAAACCATTTTAACCCATGTTTGAACTGGTCTTGTAGCCTTAAAACAACTTAGTAAAACCATGGTTCTTCGGGAAAACCCATAAAGTTATATGAAATATTCCATCCCTACAACTCCAAAAACCCTGTAAAACCTGGTCTTTTACCTCCCTAAGTAGTGTTTTTGTATGACCAGGTCCAAGGGCCATCCCAGAAAGGTAACAAACATGAACAGCCAGATGATCTTCGAGGGTGGAAGACCTTCTTTTCTAGGCACGCCCTTTTTCCTTCGAAACACTCCGCTGCTTACACGGATGGGTCATAGTCATACAGTCGAGGTAAACCATGTATGTAACTATTCCATGCATGGATTGTCTATCATTAAATAACTACCCTATAGGGATCCAAGTACCTTCTCAGGTACGGTGATTGGAGACACTATTGTGTAGGTTTGGAGGGTCCAGTCGTACCTTCTGAGGTTCGGTACGGCTGGATCCCTAGGGCCAAAGGCCCATAGAATCCAGGGAGACCCCTTTTTCGTGGCTCGAGATCATCCTTTGGCCCTGTTCGGGGATCGCTATCCTGCGACGAATGCAAGCCCAAATCCCCGACCAGCACCGACTTCACAGGTCACCCATTGAAACCTGTTAGGGCCTAACAACCCTCCAAAGGAGACCTGTTCGAAGGTGCTGGTATACATGTCCATCGTTGGCAATTTTGCATGTCTACCATGGAGGAGTCTTAGTTGGTACCTCGGAAAATGAGTACAAGTCCCTGTTTTAGAGGGTCATGTCCCATTCTCTAGAGTACTTGAAGTCGGGTCCAGTTATACTACCTCCTTGTTCCATTTGCATCCGCCGGTGGAGCCATGCAGGCGCTTCGCTGATTAGATCATGACTCTTCTTGGCCAAGTAAAACACGTACTGCTTGGAGGGGAAGAGGTCATATTTGACTTGACGAGCCTCAGTGAGAACAGGACAGGATCTCCGTTCACACCGCCACTGCAACAACATTTCGTCCACCTGAAATGGCCTTCGTTGTCGATTGCTTGCAATCAGTGCAACTGAACATCCGTTCGGCCCCACAAACCGTGCAGTCTGAAAGGCAGAGGTATCCTTCATCTCCTCCTTCTCAACCTCTTTGGCCAGTTCTTCCAAATCCTTATGACCAGGCCGTGCCAACTCCGTGGTAGACCCACTCCACCGATAGAACCGGTGGATGATTACAGGCCTGTCTCTAAAGCACCTGGAGTCTCAGTGCGTACCTCGGAATAGAGGTACATATATTATATACATGTAAGCGCCAGCCTATAAATATTAAAATATATAGAGATAGACTTATAATAGGGTCATGTCACACACTCATGTCCCATGTTCCAGTGAAGTAATTACGTCCGAAGGTCGGGTTCAGGTAGTGATCATCTTTCATTGACTGTTACAGCTTACAGGGACATACAGTACCCAACCCTCGCATCCCCACGGTCCACGGTCATCACGGTCCACGTGGAAGCTTCTCAGACGAAGCATCGGTTTCGATGGATCCTTCCGAACGGAAATGGCAACCAAAAGCGGCCCAGAAAATGGGTAACTGATGCACCCTAGGCTTCCAAGTACCTTCTGAGAAGGTGTTTGGGGTGGGTTTGGAGGGTCCAAATACCTTCTGAGGAGGTACTTGGAGAAGGGTATTTTGCCAAAATGAACTTGGCAAAACGACTCGCAACTTCTGTTTTCACTTGCAGTTGCGCAACTGGTCAAATTGACCAAGGCATTTTTCGCAGTGCCCCGTGCCGAGTCAGTTGCTCCGAAGGCCACCCGGAGGTCTCTAGTTCAAACTAAGAGGCGGCCTCTTCAAAGCTATGATCCATATAATCCTTGATCTCCTCCCTGTTGCCCTTACCAGTGGAGCGTGCCTCGCCACCTTTCCTCGGAGGAAAGGACGGAAACGAACGAACATGCGCGATTGGGCCGCTTCTTTCTCCACATGCACGCATGAAGGGCATGGAAGAGCTGGAAAATGCAAACATCAACCACAAAGAATCCGATCTTACTGGTAATTTAACGCAAAAATAAAGCATTTGTTCCATGTTTCCTCAGCTGTTCTTCTTCTTCTTCCTCCTGCTTCATGCTTTCCATATCGTCCAACAAAGAAGCTGCTCGTGCAACCTTCTGATTCTTGCCCCGAGCATTTGACCAGGCTGAGATCACACAAAAGGCCATTAAACCACACGAGAAGGTCGATGGGAGCACTTCCACCTGCGGCTCCTGCGCGCGGTCGTCAAGCTACGCGCGGCGTTTGTTCAAGGCCATCAGACGTTCAGAGATACAGCTCCCCAATGGAGGAGCGGTGCCTAATCACAATGCATTAGCACTTTTCGAGTAAGGTCTTATGGGGCCCGCGTGCCCGGGTGCCCGGTCGTGAGATGACGGGTCTCCAGTTAGGTATCTGGCGAAATGCCCTTGAGATTGATTTAAGACTTGAGAGCCTCAACCATCTACCCAATCGGGAGGCTTTTTTGTACTCCGACCATGTGGTAGACTGCTACACTCGAGATCCTCCACAATACTGCAGAAGAAGATGCTTAAATATGCTTAATCTCCCAAGCGAGCACCGAAGAGCCTATATCGAGTGTGAGCTTGTTAACTGTCAGGGTCAGCATACTCACCATCGCCTTCAATATACTATCATCACAACCGTCGTCGTGATCCTCAACTTCATCATAAGCATAATCATCGTCACCAACATCATCATAGGCGACAACGCATTAGCGTGCTCATCAACATCGCATGTCCGTGTGACCGTGGATTGTG